CTCCCAGAAACCACAAACACAACCCTCCAGCCAACTCCTCCTGCCATTCCCAAGGCAAATCAAAGGTGTTTGAGTTTGGAGAGTCAGGAAAATTACATTGTGATCCTGAAATGACGTGCTAGGTTTGCTGCCAGGGCTGAACCTGCAGATGCAAACTACCCGTGGGACACGGGCATGGCTGGAGCCAGTACCCAGAGAGAGCTGGGGGGAGAAGGTCCACGCCCACCCAACGAACAGCCGCTCAGCTCATTTTGGAGCCAAGGAAAGAAAAGCTTCTCCATAGCTTGATTGCTGTGGGCTCCGTCCATGCTGAAAAACAAACCAAAGGGTGCAAGGTCTCTAATCGGTGGCGATCTGCCCCATCTCCCCATCAGCCCCTCGCTCAGGTCAGCAGGGTAATTATCCCCGGGGTTAATTTCAGCTCTCATTAGCACCAAGCTTGTCATAACACTCTTGCATAACGCAATGGAAACAAAGTAATTACTGTAGTTGCTGGACATTGAGATTATTGTTTGCCTCTCAAATCTCGTTAGGAGTTGTACTTATTAACTTCATCTCACCACTAAAATCAGTATGAAGCAATGCTTGCTTCCTCTTTTTAATCACGCGTTTCAACTGTGTTACAGTAATAAAAGCCCAATTAGAGCTAATTTATCACAAGCCCCCGTTTCTGAAGTCTTTATCCGCATATCAATCGATCATGTAGCAATTCAGTACCTTGAAATAAGCTGGAAATCATTTCCAAAAGGAAAAATGGGAGTGGAAGAAGCACTGAGGGGAGGGGAGGTTGCAAGAAAAGGTGGCCAGAGAGGTGGAAGAGAAACCACAGCTGTGCACGCTCTGAGCGGCCACTGCAGAAGGAAGGACACAACCTGCAGACAGCAGTGGCTGCATGTTTCAGAACAACCTCTCATGACTCCGCACCCCGTCTCCCCAACGCATTTCAGCCCGTGGGCCCTTTGCTCGCCCTGTGCCGAAGCCGTCAGGAGCCCCGTGGGTTTCAAGAACCGCATCCCCCATCACTGCCCCCGTGGACGAGCCTGTGGCCCCCTTCACCAGCCACATGGCGGGAACGCAAATCCCCAGCTCAGGGACACGCACTGAAAGGTGGCAGGGAAGGGCCCTAAGCAACTTCAAGCAAAACAAGGAATTCCCTGAAATTTCCTTAATGCAACAATACGTGCCCTGTACACAGAAAATAAACAGTTTTCCAACACATCGCCCTCAGTCTTTGTGGGAAGACAGCGGGGAGAAGGGCTGGTAGGCACCCACACCCACTCACAGTCATGCTGCCTTCTCGCCATCCAGCCCCAGCCCCCTCATTCAGCTTGGCTATCACTGGCATTTCTCTGCTCGTTTAACCACTGAGTTTGCTGGGTCTCAGCTGGGCACCCAGTCAGCAACCCAGCACTTCTCCAACAAAGGCCTTAATGGCTCACAGCATGACTCCAGCCACACTTATATTTTATCCTCCCACCTTATTTCAAGCTTTCAGCCTTACAGAAGAGCTGCTGGCCCAGACACCCCCAGGGCCACATCCCCCCACCCCACTCCTGCAGCTCCGGCGCTTGGTACTCACATTTCTGGGTAACCCCTTCTCATGCCTCTGCCCCATACACAGCACAGGATCGGCGTAATCCAGCAACAAGAGTACCTTTACTCTGCAATGCCAAGGAGGTGGAAACCCCTTCCCCAGCAAAGGCAGCTCTTCCCCCTCCTAATTAGCAGAATAAACCTGGTTTGTGTTTTTTTCCCCACTATATTTTTTTTTCCCCTCCAAGTTCTGTGAAGCACTTAAATCGCTATTTCTAAGTTGAGCAAATTGCTTCCATTCCTCCAGCCTGCTGGGCTCTGCAGAGCAAAAAAAACCTGTTAAACATGAATAATCCTTTACACAAAAGGCCTGGCGTGACCTTTTATATCTAATTGGGGAATTAGTTTCACCTCCTGAGGCACCTCTGGCTGCTTCAGGTGCAGCTGAAGCCTCAGCCGTGCTGCCCCGGCAGCTCCCCGGGCTTTTCAGTGCCGTGTTTTAGCAGAACAATAGCCCATGGGCAGTGCCGGAGCTGCCTGACCTTAAACCTGGTTTAAAGACCTGCTCCTATGGTCCTGACTGCATGTAAAATCTCTGATAAAAAGGTGAAAGCTCGTTAAAATAACTCCAACCACCCCCTGAAGCTCTGCCCATACAGCTAACCTGGGGTGACCTGGGTATAGCACATCACTCAGGCATATGCTGAATTTAAGAGGAATAGTTTTAGTGACTTCAGCCATATGAGTCATGCATGCCCTATATCCAAAAATACTGGTGGTTTGGTTTGTTGTTTTTTTTTCAAGAAACTCCTCTGATTATGGCTGGATGACAGCCTGAGCCCATACATCCAGCTCTCTTCAGAACTGAGACTTGCAACCCAAAAGGTGTGAACGTGGGTGGAAATCAATAAAAGAAATACCTGCCATTTTAAACCCTAACAGCTCCGTTCTAAGAGCGAACAGCATAGGGACAGATTAGTTTTATTTGGTTTGAAATACATTTACATTATTTGTAAACAGAGGAGAGAACAGTCAAGAAATAAAAATCTAATCCCGATTCTAGTGTGTCCCTAAATGCTCAACAAGCGTTGCAGAAGCTTTTTCAAGTGTCTGTGCAAGAAGCGTTTTAGTGCTGAAGCTTCTTTTCCCAAGCTCTTAAAAATGTCAATATTGACATGCCCTTGAGGAGAAATGCCTGCTGATTGAAAAGGTCACATGTTTCTGGTGTGCCCCCATACCGATCTGGCAAGAACCGAGGTTTGAGTGCATCTGCGATAAAAAGTGACCTGAGGTATCGGGGAAAAAAGGGAAAAAAAGCTGGTGGTTTGGTTGTTTGGCTACTGTTTGCATTTGGGCCAATCCTGCTGAATTTCCCAGCAGTGGAAAGTGGGGCTGGGGGGTTGGCCAGCCGTGGGGAGCACCCAGCGCCTTCTGGGCTGGAGGTCCCGGCGCTGCTCCCGGTGGGCTGGGATCCTGTCCTGGATCAGGTTTTCTCTCTTATCCACCAGGACATAAAACGCAAGATGGCATTTTCATACCCTGGCCTGTGGCTGCAGGCAGGAGGCAATTCCCTGCCGCCCCTCGCTGTCGCTGCCCCTGTGTCCAGCCCGTGCTGGCTCATCGGTTCTGGACAGGCTGGTGCTGGGGTGCACGGGGGGGTTCAGCTCTGTGGGCACGCGCTGCGCCCCACGCCTGTGCCCCGCACCATGGCTGGTGGGTGGCCCCCGAGGGTCCCCCACGGTTGGGTGCCCATCAACCCATGGCTGGACCACCCTCACCCCACCCTGCCCTTGCCCCATGGCTGGGCCATGAGCACCCCGTGGGTGGGTGCCCATCACCCTACAACTGGGACACCCGGGCCCCACGGCTGCCTTCACCCCATGCTGCCTGAAACCCACAGCTGCCTTCACCCCACGGCTGCCCTCACCCCATGCTGCCCTTAGCCCACGGCTCCCTTCACCCCACGGCTGCCTGCACCCCACAGCTCACTTCACCCCATGGCTCCCTTCACCTCACACTCCTTTCACCCCACGCTGCCCTCACCCCAATATTCTGTTCACCTCCCATTCCCTTCACCCCCCGGACCGGGACCCCCGACGGGGCGCCCGCTGCCGGCTCCCACGATCTCCGCGCGGTCCCTGCGCCCTCCCCTTCCCCCGAGGGGGGGTCCCGGACCCGCCCCGCCTCACGCAACCCCGGGGGGCTCCG